ATGTCATTTTTTAAAAACAAATGGAGGAAGGGAAGGAGGGAGGAAAGGAAAGAGCGAACAATTGGGTTGCCTTCTTATACATACACCTACTGGGGATAGAACCTGCAACCTGGGTATGTGCCCTAACTGGAAATCGAACCCACAGCTTTTTGGTGTATGGAACTATGCTTCAACCGACTGAGCCACACCATCCAGGGCTGATGGTATCATTTTTAGAAGAAGAAATTTGGAGATACCTGAGAAACGCAGGGGCATGTGTTCACAGAGGGAAGACCATGTGAGGACATAGCCAGAAGGCAGCCATTTGTAAGCCAGTGAGTGAGGCCTCAGGAAAAACCAAACCTGCCAACACCCTGCTCCTCCAGAACTGTGAGGAAATAAATTTCTGTTATCCATTCCCACCTAGTCTGTGGTACTTAGTCATGGAAGCCCTAGCAAACTCTTCCAATAGGCCTTCAAATTTCATCGGGGAAGTCCCTTGATTTGGTGAGTCCTACGCACTGGGAATGACATTTCTAGAAGTTCAGAAGTTCATTCATTTTAATCAAATTTCTTTACCGTCAAGTAATGTGTATGTGTAGTTGTGTTCTGGAGATGAGCAGCATGGTTTTAGAACAAGGATGTGTGGCTTGGTTGAAGGGATGGAGGTTTGGGTTCAAGATACATCATTACAGTTGTGACCCTCCTGAGATCTGTTCACAGGGAAAGGCAGATTATGGTGCTTTGGTGCCTTTTTAACTCATGTGAAACTTGTTTCTGTTCTGCTTAGGTTGAATGAACAAGTGATGTGTCTAAGGCGATCTGATTCAGTTTAAATGTTTCCCGGTGGCCCTTCCTATATATCAAACTTCAGTGTTTTAACTCTAGTCAGCAACCCTAGTTTTCTTCTTAGAAATGAGAGGAGCTCCTTCCAGCCCATCCATTTATAGTATATGTGAGCAAGACCTTTTCTCTCAGCTCTACAGATATTAGTGTCACTGGTTAATGGAGAGGTTCCCTCAGGTTCGGTGTTCTTGCTCAGTCCACTGCAGCTGTGATCAGTGCCCTGTGGCATTACTGCTGAAGAGCTCAACCAGATGGGTTCATTCAGGCCGGTCTGATGTTTTTAGACCTACATATTCTAAAAACTACATGCTTAGTTGGCTCAAATTGGTGTTTGTATTTGATGCTTTCCACAGTAAGAGGGTTGCCAAACGTAAGAGGATTGTTTTATAACAGTTCATAAAATTGGCAACTATGTTGCCAGAGCATAGTTGTTTTGTCCTGAGTCGCTTGCAGCGTTTAGGCAGATCCTGTGGCAGAATTGATGGTAGTGAAATATCTCAGAGATGGGTTTCCTGAGGCAGCTGTGGAGGCCGAAAGAACACAGGATAGCAGGTGTATGAATGTGAGCTCAGCAGCCCTGCAGAATCCCACTAGAATTCTGTATTAACTCAATGCCTCATGAAACATAACTATTTTGAATCTTCTCCGCATGCCTCAATTTACCAACTTTCAAATTTTAAAGGGGAAACAGAAGGCACTGAAAAGGAACTTTCTTATCTTCCCAAGAAAGAAATGTAAACTTAATTACATTTATAATTAACTTTTCCATCTTTCTCCCCAATGGAAGACTTCTCCTTTTCTAATTCAAGTCTTTGCCCTCTGTTTTAGAGCTCTTGTCACATCATTTCAAGTCCCTTAGGACATCACTTAACTCTTTTGGCTCATATTCTCAATCCCTCCACTTTTTTAAAGTACCCAGGGCTTTCCTGTTAAAAACAAGCAAATGATCAATGCCATTATTTGATTTTTTTTTACCCTCTATACTCCTAGCCTCTTGTCTTCCTCCTCCTTCACAGCCAAGCTTCTTTAAAAAACCCTTCATCATTTAAGAAGTACAGATCAGTACTTACAAAATAGCTACAGGATGTAAAGTACAGCATAGGCAATATAAGCAATAATATTGCAGTAAGTATTTATAGTGCCAGATGAATTCTGGAAATAATGCAGGGAACACTTCGTAAAGTATATGATTGTCTAACCTCTATGCCATGCACCTGAAACCAATATAAAATCATACTGGAAGTAAACTGTAACTGAAAATATATATATGTTCTGGCTCTCCCATCTATTCTCACACTTCCAGACTAATGTTTTTAAAGTGCACATCAGATTGGATCAGCACCATGCTTAAACCCTTCACATTGTTCTCAGGATAAGAATGAAGAAGCTTAACCTGACCTCTGTGAGGTCTGACCCCTTCTGACCTATCAGCCGTGTTGGTATCCTTTGCCGCTTCAGGCATCTAGACAAGTTTTTTTAATTTTTTATCTTCTTTATTTTTTGAATATATTTTATTGATTATGCCATTACAGCTGTTCTATTTCCCCCCTTCATTCCCCTCCACCCTGCACACCCCCTCCCCTGCCATTCCCCCCCCCTTTAGTTTATACCCACCTGTCTCAAGTTCTTTAGATTCTATACTTCCCATACTATTCTTGCCCTCCCCCCCTATCTATTTTCTACCTACCATCTATGCTACTTATTTTCTGTACCTTCTCCCCCCTTCTCCTTCTCCCACTCCCCTGTTGCTAACCCTCCATATGATCTTCGTTTCTATGGTTCTGCTCCTGATCTAGCTGTCCTCCTAATTTGCTTTTGTTTTAGGTGTGGTTCTTAATAACTGTGAGTTTGTTGTCCTTTCACTGTTCCTCTTTTTTATCTTCTTTTTCTTAGATAAGTCCCTTTAACATTTCATATAATAAGCATTTGATGATGATGAACTCCTTGAATTGGATCTCATCTGAGAAGCACTTTATCTGCCCTTCCATTCTAAATGAAAGCTTTGCTGGATAGATCAATCTTGGATGTAGGTATTTGGATTTCATGATTTGGAATACTTCTTTCCAGCCCCTTCTTGCCTGTAAAGTCTCTTTTGAGAAATCCGCTGACAGTCTGATGGGAACTCCTTTGTAAGTGACTGTCCCTTTATCTCGTTCTGCTTCTAGGATTCTCTCCTTCATTTTAATCTTGGCTATTATGGCTTTAATACTCTGGTACTCCTTAGCTTTAATCTTGGTAATTATGATGTGCCTTGGTGTGTTCCTTCTTGGGTCCAACTTCTTTGGGACTCTTTGAGCTTCCTGGATTTCCTGGAAGTCTATTGCCTTTCCCATATTGGGGAAGTTCTCCTTTATTATTTGTTCAAATAAGTTTTCCACTAGTGGCTATTCCTCTTCTCTTTCTGGTACCCCTATAATTCAGATGTTGGAACATTTAAAGATGTCCTGGAGGTTACTAAGCCTCTTCTCATTTTTTTGAATTCTTGTTTCTTCATCCTTTTCTGTTTGGTTGTTTCTTTCTTCCTTCTGGTCCATTCCATTGATTTGAGTCCCAATTTCCTTCCTATCACTATTGGTTCCTTGTGAATTTTTCTTCATTTCCCTTAGTGTAGCCTTCATTTTTTCATCCAATTTGTGACTCAATTCAACTGATTCTGTGTGCATCTTGATCACCATTGATTTGAACTGTGCATCTGATAGGTTGGCTATCTCTTTGTCGCTAACAAAATTTGGATTTTGTTATCCAAATTTAAGGTAATTTGGATAACAAAAAAGGTAGAAGACAAGAAATCACTTGTCTTGCAACCTCTCAAACACATTTTTCTACATTCATAAGTATTTATCAAGAACATAATTTTTAATTCCTACATGGTAATGTTATATAGATTTAGATTATTTATTTATTTATTTTAGTTATTGGGGGAAAATTAGTGTTATAGAAATGTTATTAACAGTCCTTTTATATAAATATTTTTGTGCATAAATGTCTAATTACCAAAAGTTGAATTACTGGGTTAAAGAGGGTGTGTAGAAATACTTTTTAGGCTTTAGATAATTATTCCCAGATTAGTCCTCCAGAAATGTACCAATTTATATATCCACCCAAATAGTAAGAGACTGCCAATTCCCCACAATAAATCATACAAGACACATAGGCATATATAGATGCAAATCTAATGGGTGGAAATTGTATATGGTTATTTAAACTTGTATTTGTAGTGCAGATCACTTCTGAATTTGAACATTTCTCCTTAGCTATTGTCATTTTTTCTTCATCAATTACCTGTTGTTTTTTTATAGTTTTGTGTTCTCTTTTTCACATATAAAATCGTTTTTATAGTAAGTGCATTAACCTTGTTTTTGTCATGTATGCAAATATGAGCTTCAGTAGAACCTTTTTCAAATGGCTGCAAATTCAAGGAGAGTTTAAAGAAAACCGTTGTAAAGTGAGGTAAAATGGTTACCATACTTTATTAATAAGGGCAGCTGGTATCTCTCTCTCTCTCTCTCTCTCTCTCTCTCTCAAATTTTGCAACTCAAACTGCATGCTAAGGCAAGTATGTGTGAAAACAGTCTAGACTTTGAAATTAGGCAGGCCTTATTTCTGTCCTGCTTCTTTTGCTTTGGAGCTAAGAGCACTAGGACACGTTATTGAACCTCTCCAACTCTCAGATTTCTTTCCTGGGTAACAGGAATTCTTCTGGCCTTGTGCATAAGTAAATAGCTTCTGGATAGTGCCTGGTGCAAAGGTGGTATTCTATAAATACCATTTTCTTTTCATATCCCTCTAAGCTATTCTGTCTGTACATATGATATGTACCCTTACATGCATTTTGTTTCATTAGGGAGCGTGCATATTTCATTCAGGTTGTAGCCAGACATGCAGTCATACGTTAATACTTGCTGACTAGGTAATTATGACCAAAGTACCAATGAGGGTAGAAAAATTCATAGTTAACTGAGTCTAGGAGAGGTTTTAATTTTGGATCTTAGGGATAATGTTAGTAAATTTGGATCTGTTCTATAAAAGTGGTATATGATGTAAGATAACAAAATTCTGGAGAAGAAAGTGACAACTTCAACTACACAAAAATTTTATTTTAAACAGCTCCACATTAGTTTCAAATTACTTAAACTCTTTTATTGAGAATTTGTGTCCCCTTTTTTCCTTTGTAGGTGTGGCTGGATCTCTTAAAACCTATCGTCAAGCAGATTAGAAGTAAGTATATACTATATGTTTAACAGTGATATTAAATATAAAACCAGACAGTTTCCTCATCTAGATGTTGTCTGTCCTGTGGCATCAAGCCCACTTAATGACACAAGTTCTTTTTTTACATCGTAATTGCCTTTCATCATCTTTTAATCCACATACCATTAAAATATATGTTCTGCAGTTTTAATAAGTAGCAATTTGGTAATCAAAACCCTGCTTGGGAAATCAAATATCATTCTGATTAACAGCTAAAGCATGATGTTAAGCCCCCAATTGAACTTGTCTTATTTGTGCCCAAGTTTTTTATTGTCACTTTTTAAGAGGGGAGGAAGAGGCATTTATTTATATTGGTGTAAGATTTTTTGTCCTGCCTCATCAAAGCCTGTGAAATCAGAATGCAAGTGAGGGTTGGAAAAATAAGGTGCATGTGTGTGTCTGTGCATGTGTTTCTGAATTTCTGAATGGCAGCCAGAAGTGAAGTGAGTCTGACTTGCATTTAGGCCATGTGTTGGAAAAAAATTAAGGAAGATCTAGGAAAGAAGGAAGGAAAGAGAACACCTGCTTTTTCTCTCCCTTCTCATCATGCCTCAGCACTGGACCTTCCTCCCCTCTCTCTGCTAATGGTAGAGAAGAATCTCTTAGCATATTACCAAATGCAGACAAAGAGAGTCTGCCCCTATGAGGTCAGCCCTGGGTGCTCCTTTTCATCCCATGTGCTGTGTAACTAGCCATGTGTGACAAAACAGTCATTTTGTGTTTAGTGCTAGCAGCTACTCAACTTTAGATTCTCTAAGGATCTGAGTGCCCTCATTTAATTCCCTTCTCTGTAAAAATAACTAAAAGGAAATAGCATGGCCTACCCATCTTCCCCATGTTGCTATTGTTCTTTTGTGACCCAGAGTTGACATACAAGGGTTTTGTTAATTTTTAGAATGATTAGGGAAAAGCCCAGCTTCTCTTGGCTTCCATATTTGTGTGCCTTGTTTTTTCCTCCTAATTGTGTGTATACTGGTGACATCTTTACCTCATCATATATCATTTTCGTTTTTTTCCTAAACTTGAATGTGTTAGCATAGAAATTATAATATACATCTATTTTTGTGATAGTAAATGGTAGAACAAAAAGATATTTTCTGCTTTTATACACGTACTGTTAAAATTGGGACTAAAGCAGCTAATTGGGCAATTTTTAAAGGGAAGTGCTTTTTAAATCTGAGTACAATTGAAGTCTTCAGAGAAAAAGTTTAACATTTCTGTAATATCTTTGTTACAGTTTTTTAAAAAGCCATCTGTTTCTCTGAAATGTAAAAGTGTGATTTAGTAGTAACTGAGCTTAACTAGTCATTCAATGACTTAGGCGTTGCCAGGTGTACACTTTGCAGCTTGGAATGAGACTTATTATTTGGTATATAATATACCCCAGAAAATATTTTTCTTTAACTGCTTTTGAGACAAATCAATAACTGCTTTATTTTTTTTCTTCAGGGCCAAAGCATGTTGTTGTTAGGTTTGTGGTGAAATTCTTTCCACCTGACCATACACAACTTCAGGAAGAACTCACAAGGTTAGTGGTTTGGCTATTTATTGCTATGAGATGATAAGGAGAAGAGAAAATTGGTGTTCTAAATCAATTTGATTACCATTTTCTCAATGTCTGCTCATCTAGCATCAGTTCTGTGCTTAACAGTTTAACCCCCTCTCTTCCAGTTAGGCTTATAAATATGGGGGTAAGAAAGTACCATGTTTTTCATAAAGCCTCATTTCTTTGAGGCTGTGATTCAAAATGGACTGGACTTAACCTGTTACTGCCATATTTTCCCTCCTTTATCTATCACATCACAAGATAGTTTTGGAAAGTGAATCTCTTCTATGAGAGAAGAGATTCTCTCTTCTGTAAGTTGTTAACTCAGAGTTTCTCTTCATTGCTGTCATGAGTGGGTGGACATGAACTGTAGGTCAGTTTCTTTGTCAGCTTGGCCAAGTAGAAGCAGCATAAGCATCAGATCTTGCCTGGCTTCGGCATCAGTCATTCCTTTGATAGCTCTGTGACTAGCCAGTTACTTGTTACCTCTGCACCTATATTAATTCCTCTGTGTCAGTGTGAGTATAAGGCTGGGTTGGACATGGCTGTTTTGAGGATAAGCATTACTACACATAATGGCTAGAATCCAGTAGGGACACCATGAATGATAACCATCATCACCATCACTATCATCATTGTCACCATCATCACTACCACTACATATTTCATAATTTATGGCAAGATACACAGCTTTCTAAAAGAGATCAGAGCTCAGTAGGAACACATGAAGATAAAAGTCTCCCTTTCAAGAGTGCTTTTTGATACACTAGTCTGACCAACCAAATTCTTGCCACACATGCCTTTTAAACTGTAACTGTTTAAGACCAAGACTATCACATCTTTCTTATCCTGTCATTTCTGATATAGAGCCCAGTGTCTTGGGTGAATAACCATCATTAATGAAGGGTTGAAGACATTCAGTCAAATATTTATGAAGTGTATACAATGTGTCCAAGAATTGTTCTAGGCACTGGGAATATATTGGTGAAAAAATAAGCCTGGTAATAGACAAGACGGTTAAATAAAGAAGAAAAACATCAGATAATGGTAAGGGCTCTTAAGGTCATTGAAATAGGATGATGGGTGACAATTTTAAATTGAACTCTTTAGGGTGCCTTCTGAGGAAATGATGAGGATCTGTCAGTCATTTTCAGAGGGAGAGTGTTCCAGATAGGCAGTGCCCAAGACAGGAATAAGTGATGTGTCAATCATAAAAATACTGGTATGGCAGGAACCCTGAGGGTGAAGTGCAATGAGGTGGGACAGAGGCCCAAATATATGTACTGTTGAAATACTAGTTGCCATATGGATGTTGTGAGGAGGATGACTGCAGGGAAGCCACTGAGAAAGCAATGTTGGTCATCCATGCCACGTGATGGTGATGGAGAGGATAGGCGTGTGAATAGAGACACGTGGTAGCTTTTGCAATACTTACTGGAGGTGGGGTCAGTCCATCTGGGTGATGGGGTAGGGATAGAGACTGAAGGAAGTAGAAGAGATGTTTAGATTTGACTTCAGCAATTGTCCGGGTGGTGGTAACGATGACTAAAATGAGAATGGGTGGAGAGAAGTAGAGGATTGGGGAGGGGAAGAGTCAGGAGTTTGCTTCTGCAAGGCTGCACTTGAGATACCTACTCCACCTTATGTAGATGTGTCAGGAAGGTCATTGGGAACATGAATGTGGATTCCAGGGAGAGACAAAGGCTTTGTGTTTTCTGAATGAGTCTTTACTCCTTGTTTACCTCCATTTACCATCCTCAGATCATTGAAGCAATTAGAGGTGGCTAGGAACTGCAGAAGCCATTAGCCTTCTGGAAACTGTATGCAGTTTTCCAGAATACTTAAAGTAGAAGAGGGGCAGCTGGAGCTACTCTACCAAATTGCACCAGACAGAGGGGCCAAGTTTTCATGAGGTGTCATTATTAGGGCTACTGTCTCTCAATTTCTGGGGCCAGCCTTCCTGTTGTGGGAACACTCATTGCTCCAAGCTCAGTGTATTGAAACAAATCTAAAGGCAAGTCCAGCTGTTGGTCAGCAATGTGCTTTATCCTTCTGCATTGTATTGGGGCCTCTATACTGCTTAGAAAATTGGCAGCATAAATCCCCCTTTTCCCACTTTTTCTTCCTGTTCTACTTTGCAATGAGTTTTGTACTCTTTCAATTTTTATGACTCATTGCCTTTAGAAGTTTGTAGTTTTCTTCCATTCTGGTCCTTGTTATAAAATTCCATAAAACGTGTTCTCCTTAAGCCAAATGGGACCGGTATCGTTCCTGGTGGTCTGTTTGACCTGATAAAACTCCCTCACATTACATAAGCTCAGCTGGATGCAGCAAGTTTAGGGTTTTGTTTTCTGTCTCACAGTGTTAACTGACATTTAAAAAATCTTTTCTGAAGAGAGAACTCTTTGGGCTCAAGGGTGAATAAAATTGATATGAAATTTAGAAGCTCCCCATTGCTTTCTACTTTGTCATGATGTATAATATGAGGATCCAATGTATTGACTCCCACACTCTCAAATTCCTGCATAAGCAAAAATCAAATGATGGGACCATCGAGATTCCAGGAACTTTTCTATCGCAGATGGTAAGGGAGGGAGGGAGGGGTTTGGAGAAGGTCTGTGTGGACAGTGCTTTTAGGCAAGGGATGTGTGGAAAAGAGCGAGATAGATAGAAATGGGCCTGTAGACTATAGTTTGGCAGACTGTAGTAGCCCTGTGGTTAATTCTTTGAGCCTCCAGGAATAGCTTTCAGCTTCCTATTTATATAGATGGAAGATTAAATTTTACTTGGTGGTTAAACAAGAAGCTGAATTCCTATTTATTAAACTATACTTTTGGTGGAACTCTGTCCTGTTGACAATGTTTAGAAGGACAAAAGCTGACTCCAGTGCAAGTTTTAAAAGGTAGGGCAAGATCTTTGGAAAAGAAATTATCAGGCTTTCTTTTTTTCTTTTTTTAAATTTTATTTTAATTATAGCTTAAGTACAGTTTTCTTCCTTTTACCCCCATCCTAGCCCACCCCCCAGCCCTCCCTACATCCCTCCCATTTCCTTCCCCACCTTGTTTTTGTCATATATCCTTTATACTTATTCCTGCAAACCCTTCCCATTTTCCCCTAAAATTGCCTCCTCTCTCCCCTGTGGTGGCTGTCAGCATATTCTCAATTTCAGTGTTATTGCAGAGCCCTGAGTCATTTTTTGTCATGCTAATGAGTTTAGACACACTTCTTTATGGGTGTCCCATCATCAGTCAGACATAATTTCTACTCAGCTGTGTTCAAACAGGTGAGAGACCCTGTCACAACTTACTGGTATGCAAGGTCTGCTAAAGTGTGTTTCCTTAGGCTGGCAGAGGAGTTGTACATGATACTGGGGAAGAAAAGATGGAGTCACATGAAACCTCCCTCATGAAATAAATGAAAATAGACATGTGTAAAATCAGGCATCAGATGGATGTGATTTGCAACTCTTGCGGTCCCCAGAACTGAAAGCCCTTCTTGAGGAGTCCTGCCACTGTCATTGCCTCTTCCTCACATCCACCCAAGGAGACTTAATTCCCTTTTGAGTGCTTTGAACATTTCTGTGTGTTTACCAGTTTAATTTTATTTAGTGTCTACTAAGTATGTCTTAGCCTTTAGTTCTTATGAATTTGATTGGAATTGCTTCAGCTTATAGGGGTGTTGCTGAATCTCTTTTTAAAAAAATTTTATTTAGTTATTTTTCAAGTACAGTTTTTTGTCTATTTCTCCCATCCCATGTTCCCCACCTCCCTCCCATTTCCTCCCCCCAGTCCTCGTCCCTGTGTCCTTCATACTCTCTGAAGTTAGCCTTGTGATGAGTGTGCTCAACTTACACCTGTCATGAAGAAGTCAGTACCCAAGAAGGTCTTTCTCATATTACACTGACCTTAGAATAGAAAGAGTTGGTATAATTAGGGTGACAAGTTCTTCCTGCACTCTGCAACATGGCACTTGCCCTCTAGCTAAATGTGTGACCTTTTAGAACCTGCTGCCATCTCGCAGCCCATAGGACACTGTCACCAAAGGCCACCAAAGCCTGTCAGACTCTGAATCCATTCCTTTGAACACAGGATCCTGTGTTTCAACTGGAAGAGAGTAAAATACTCAGAATGTAATGTTTGTGAAACACAAAGTTCTCCTTATTTTTAAATTAACCACATAGGTGACAGTTAAAGCCTGTAGCTCTAAGAAGTGTTGAATTCAAAAGACAATAACCACTACCTAATGCAGAAAGATGGTTTATACTACCTTTTCTCATGTAACCCTATATGTTAATATTTGTTATTTCATATTCCCATCTTTTTTTCTCCCCACTGACTTCCCCAAGAGAGAGAAGGGAGGTGGAGAGAAACTTGAGAACAGAAATAAACATTGCAGGGGTTGGATAGAGGTCAACTGTTAATTGGTAGATTTCTAGGTGATCTAGTTTTATTTTGAGGTTTTGTTTTATTTTTGGTGGTTATAGATTTGCCCCTTATTTTTTAGTTCTCAATAATGGAACTTTCTAAATGACTTAAAGAGGGTTAGTTTTTATTTTATTTAAAAAATTGCTAACATTTACTGAATGTTTTTGGTTTAGTCACTGTGTCTTCCATGTATTATCTCATTTAATGGAAACCTGTGGTTGGTCTTGCTAAAGACTTTTTTTAATTAAAAATAACCTTTTATTATTACAAAAGCAATCAGAAGATAGTGTAGAAAGTTACAAAGTACAGATAAACAAGAATGAGAACATAAAAATACTATATTCCTATTGTCCAGAGATTATCATTGTTAATAAACACGTGAGTATGCTATCCTGTCTGAATTCTTTCTATACACATATATGTATTTTTATCTCATCTAATACCCTAGCCACACTGAAGTTTCCCCATTTGTTTCCCAAATGCCATGTATATCTGGTTATTCTAAAATGTATTTCACTAAAGGACCACACATTGCATGTCCTTGAACCTCCTTTAGTCTTTCAGAGTCCCTCAGTTTGTTTTGTTTTGTTTTTTTCAAGATACCCTCTTAGTAGAAAAATTGGACCAGTTGTACTATAAAATATGTTGCCTCTTGAATTTGTCTGGTTGCTTCCTTGGGCTATTTAGCTTATTCCTCTAGTCTCTGTGCTTTCTGAAAACTGGAAATTAGTTCTAAAGACTTGATAGATACAAGTCAAATATTTTTTACTAGAATTCATCATAAGTAATGTTTTGTGCTTCCTATATCATTAATGACACAAAGAATGATTATTAGGATAGTGACATTCTGATCTTTCCATTGTGAAATAAGGTCATGTTACTTTGTCTCTATGCAGATATCCAATTTACTAAATGTTTTTTCATCAATTAACAATCCTTGCCAAAGTCAATAATAATAATAATGCTAACATCACTAGTTAGCATTCTTCTGTAACGTAAAACTTGGCCTCATCCACTTGGACTATCTGTATATCCTGCAATACCCTTCATACCAAAGAGGCAGATTACATCACCACTTTTTTCCCATGGGTTATCAATTTTTAAATAAAGAATTGGTTTAATAGTCTCCTTAAATTGATGACATATTCAGGGATTTTTGTTGTTGTTGTTGTTTTCTCCTTTTTTTGAGTATCATTATGTGAACTTTTTTTTTAACTTTTTTATTGATTATGCCATTACATTTGCTCTATTCCCCCCTCCATTCCCCTCCACCCTGCATGCCCCTCCCCCACCACTTCCCCCTTTAGTTCATGAACACGTGTCTCAAATTCTTTAGATTCTGTATTTCCCATACTATTCTTACCCTCCCCCCTATTTTCTATCTACTGTCTGTGCTACTTATTTTCTGTACTTTCTCCCCCCTTCTTCTCCCACTTCCCTGTTGCTAATCTTCCATGTGATCTTCATTTCTATGGTTCACTCCTGATCTAGCTGTCCTCTTAATTTGCTTTTGTTTTAGGTGTGGTTGTTGATAACTGAGTTTGCTGTCCTTTCACTGTTCAACTTTTTTATCTCCTTTTTCTTAGGTAAGTCCCTTTAACATTTCATATAATAAGGACTTGGTGATTATGAACTCCTTGAATTTGATCTTATCTGAGAAGCACTTTATCTGTCCTTCCATTCTAAAAGAAAGTTTTGCTGGATAGAGCAATCTTGGATAGAGGTCCTTGCTTTTCATGACTTGGAATATTTCTTTCCAGTCCCTTCTTGCCTGTAAGCTCATTTTTGAGAAATCCGCTGACAGTCTGATGGGGACTCCTTTGTAGGTGACTGTCCCCTTAGCTCTTGCTGCTTCTAGGATTCTCTCTTTAATTTTAATTTTGGCTAATGTAATGATGATGTGCCTCGGTGTGTTTCTTCTTGGGTCCAACTTCTTTGGGACTCCCTGAGCTTCCTGGATTTCCTGGAAGTCTATTTCCTTTGCCAGATTGGGGAAATTCTCCTTTATTATTTGTTCAAATAAGTTTTCCACTGGTGGCTGTGTCTTTCCCCCTTCTGGTACCCCTATAATTCAGATGTTGGAGTGTTTCAAGATGTCCTGGAGGTTCCTAAGACTCTCCTCATTTCTTTGAATTCTTGCTTCTTGACTCTTTTCTGTTTGGCCATTATTTGCTTTCTTCTGGTCCACTCCATTGATTTGCGTCCCAATTTCCTTTTCATTGCTATTGGTGTCCTGTGCAATTCCATTCATTTCAATTACTTTCGCCTTCATATATTTGTCTAATTTGTGGCTATAATCAACCAGTTCTGTGAGGATCCTGATCATCAGTGTTTTAAACTGTGTGTCTGAGAGTTTTGCTATTTCTTCATCGCTTAGATCTGTAGGCTCTGGGGCTTTGAGATCTTCTTGAGCCATTTTTGGTCTGTTCACGCCCTTTAAGTGTGAGGAGCGGAGCCCTGGACTCCCATGTTGCTGGGTTGTGATGCTATATGTGGGGGCGTGGTCAGAGCGGGGAAATGGCGGCACCCTCTGATGTTTCGTGCCACTGGGTGAGGAGCAGAGGCTTAGGTGGTTCACCTGGGCCGGGCCACTCCGAGTCGCTGGGTTATGACGCTGTAAGTGGAGGTGGGGTCAGAGCCGGGAAATGGCGGCGCCCTCACTGCTGCTTGCCGTGGGGGACCTGCTGGGTTCCGGTCCAATTGCCCACTCCCTCGCTTGTGTATCCACTCACAAATGTGCGACCACAGTCCACCCACAGCCCTGCTCCCTCGCTGTTTCCCCGCAGTCACTGGCTTGGTCGCTAGCTCGGTCGCTCACTAGGTCCAACCCTGCGCCTGGATTTCGCGCACCTGAGTCCATCTGACCGCGTTTTCCAGTGCAACCCCGGTCCACCAGCTGCTGGTTTCGCCCCTTACTGGTCAGGCTGAAGAATTTGTTGTTAACAGACTACCAAAAAGTTCAATTTTCTGTGTTCTGGCTGTGTTTTCTGTTGCTAATATTTAGTTGTCTCTAAACTTGGTTGTGTGAGAAGGCACGGCATATCCACCTATGCCTCCATCTTGGCGAAAGTCCTCTTTATTTTCCTTCATTATTTGTTCAAATAACTTTTCCACTTGTTGCTCTACCTCTTCTCCTTCTGGTACTCCTATAATTCGGATGTTGGAACATTTAAAGATGTCCTGGATGTTCCGAAGCCTCTCCTCATTTTTTTTGAATTCTTGTTTCTTCATTCTATTTTGGTTGAATGTTTCCTTCTTCCCTCTGGTCCACACCGTTAATTTGAGTCCCGGGGTCCTTCCCATCACTATTGGTTCCCTGTACATTTTCCTTTATTTATCTTAATGTAGCCTTCATTTTTTCATCTAATTTGTGACCAAATTCAGCCAATTCTATGAGCATTCTGATCACTAGTGCTTTGAACTGTTCATCTGATAGGTTGCCTCTTTGTCGCTTAGTTGTATTTTTTCTGGAGCTTTGATCTGTTCTTTCATTTGGGCCATTTTTTTTTGTCTTGACATACCTGTTACATAATGAGGGGTGGAACCTTAGGTGTTCAGCAGGGTGGAGCAACCCAGTTGCTGGGTTGTGATGTTTTATATGGGGGGATCCGAGGAGGAACAAGGGCACTTGCTCCTGTCTCTGCCGGATTTTAGTCACTTCCCTTGCTTCCCACAAGCAAAGTGGGCCCTTCTGGTGCTGATTCCTGGGTGGATGGGTTTTCGTATGTTCTAGGAGCTTGTGGGTGTCTCCAGCAGACTCTCCTGTGAGGCTGGGAGTTTCTCTTGGCACCTCAATCTCCACAGGTGTTTTCATTCGGTGTTTTGAGGCTTTATTTCCCCAAGTTGGGACTCTGAGTTGCGTGGTCTGTCTCGCTGTCCAGTTTCGCCTGGTTTATCTATGGGTGAATGTAGGACCGCCCAGTTCCACCCACCACCTTGTACGCCAAGCCCCTCTACAATCCGCCACCTTGCTGTGTCTGCCCACTACCACCTTGCGTGCCCGGGGTTGCCAGCCACCGCTTTGCTACAACCCCTCTCTGCCCAGCCACCTGACTCTGACCCTCCTACTGGTCTGGATGACTGTGTCTACTTTAACTCCTTGGTTGTCAGACTTCCATACAGTTCAATTTTCTGTCAGTACTGGTTGTTTATTGTTTCTAAACAGTTGTCCTTATTTTGGTTGTGCAAGGAGGCACAGTGTGTCTACCTATGCCTCTATCTTGGCCGGAAGTCCTTAAGGGTTGCTTCTGAGATGACACTGTTACTAGGCAGTGGACAAACCTAGTAAATACCTTTCTAAAAGTTTATGAGTTCATACTGATATCTAATTTTTTAATTATATTTTACCAATTATACTATTACAGTTGTCCAGTTTTTCCCCTTTGCCCTCCTCCATGTAGTCCCCACCTTTACTCCCTCAGGCAATTGCCACACCATTGCCTATGTCCATATGATATTTTCAAATCAGTTTTAACAATGACTGTTTTTCCTTAATTTCTTTGTTTTATGAATCCCTCTTTTCTCTTTTGCCAAAAATGTTCCCTTGCTTTATGCTACAATGTAAATAAAAGAGTTTTAAAATAAATTGATTCTTATACTTCTGGGAGCTGATAGTATGTATGGTAGTAGCTAAGTGAATACTATGCCACAAAAAAGACACCCCTGTCTTGCAAAGCTATTACTAACCATAACAAACTATTGTTACTGTCTCAGCCATAAAGCCATTTTTAAATATATTTGATCTGTGAAAATTTTTTAAATGTTTGCTGTGCCCTATAAAAATATATAGGATGGTAAGTCACAGTCTTATGTTTTTTACCACTGTATCTCTATATAAAATTAAACGTATTACTTATTGTGTGAGAAGATTAGAGCACATGTCTCCCTGTCCTTTCAGGAAGGTATGAGTATCTTCATGGCAGTCAGTGGCACCAGGAACTCATCCCAGCCTTGCAGACATTCTTTTCCTTGGTTTATGTACCTCTCTTTAGTTGCAGATTGCCAGGGGTGCCTGACACCTGACTTAGATGGGGACCTTCCCCACCCTCTTTGCATGCTGCCCATCTCTGTTTTTATGACGCTCATCTCTGTGTTTGCAGGTACCTGTTTGCTCTGCAGGTAAAGCAGGATCTGGCTCAGGGCAGGCTGACGTGTAATGACACCAGTGCTGCTCTTCTGATCTCACACATTGTGCAATGTAAGTTCTGTTGGTTTTCTTTAGAAACCACATTGGAAATTACACAATGATCTGATTGACTGGAAAGAAAATCACATCCATAAAAACAATACTGTTATCTTTGTGTTCTTTTGCTATTAGCATAAATGTTTATGGGTCAAAAACAGTACTCCTAATTTTATTTAATATGCATATCACCAAAACATCGACCCAGCAATTCTATGTTCTGGTGTTTGTCTACCCTTTTCAAGGACTAGTGCAACTGTTGATATCTAAGTTGTCTCAAAGGAGAAGCTTAGAGGGACAGGGTCCAAGTGGACTAAATTTGTTCTGGCCTTTATCATTGAATATAGCTCATTAGCCATAGACATAAAACTGTCAAAGATTTTATTTTTGGTATTCTTCTCTCTAGCTAGACTAAATCCTAGTGATGCTTCAGAATGAAATATTTTAACTTTCTTAACCTAGACAAAGGATAAATTAGATTGTGTTCATTCTAAGGCTTACTGACCATCCACCTGAGCATTTATTTCTTTTCTCTTGGCCAAGGCAGAAGTTACTTAAAGTAGAATATACACATGCTGTTTTGGGAAAGTAGTTATGTATATAGACAAAGGTCAACATGCATAAGTACTAGCCTAAAAAATATTATGCTATCATTTCAAAATTTCCAGTGTATACAAAGCAGTTCCATATAAGTAGCCTCGTCTTGTTTGATAACTGTCCAGTTAATAAGACTTCCAAAGTATTGTAAGAAATATCACTCCTAGTAGTCAAAAAATTACCTTAGTCTAACATGGTGAGATGTTTCTATAAACCATGCTTATACTTTTTTTTTTTTTGGTATATGGGCATTATTGAATATCTACCAAATTTAGCAGAGATATTTTCATATCATTTTGAAAATTTAATGTGAGGGGAAAAAGACAAAAATAAAAACAGGTATCCTTTGTTAAGTGTCAGCACTGTGTATCCCATTTAAATCTTGCAACAACTCTGTGAGGTCAGTATTCTTATTATCCCCATTTTTATGAGTGAGGAAGCTTTGTTACAGAAAGTTACATAGCTTTTGTCTGTTGTGTTTGGTCTTCCCTCTTTATATGATAGTGGAGAGAGGAGGCCTTTGAATCAGGCAGACCCCATTTCTATCAGTTGATTGATGACCCTGGTGTGTTATCCACCCCTCCTCACTACTTGTTATTTCTTTTGGAACATGAAAATAATAAAACTTTTTCATAAGGCTGTGAAAATTAAATACCCAGTACATGTTAGGTATTCAGTAAACATACTCTTTCTTTATCTCACTCACCTGCAGCCCTCCCTTTCCAAACAATGGAAAAATTTTAAATGAATGAAGCTTCTTTATTGGATAGTAACTTTATAAAATGTTTATAATCCTGGGCTTTTTTTATAAGCAGAAGAGAAACTTACTTTACTCAATATTCCTCATGCCACTTAGTTTTGTGCCTGTTTCCTCCTTTTATGTTTCATCCTTTTTAAAGTCTGTTAACTCCGTAAATCTGACTGGCACATACGGGAAGTGGAGGCTGACTGGCACTCAGAAAACCATGTGCTCCGTCTGATTGTTCCCTCTTTCCTAGATACCAGCAAGAAGCTCAAAATTACCCAAGAATCTTGAGTTCTCCAGAGAAAATGAAATAGATGGGTTCAAAAGTACACTTGCTATTTGAATACTATTTGTTCAGTGATAAGACACAATATTTTTATAATCTTCTCATACTTTTAAAGCCCCATCCCTACATTTTTAAGCATCTCATGGTCTCAGTCATGGGAGGATGAATTTCACAATCCTCTGTGAATAGTCTTGTTCAAAATTATTGATTGTTATTTGCATTACCTGTAAGGTATAAGGGGTCAACTCATGTCCCTTTTATAGAAGCTATCTTAATAGTGATGGAAAATTATCTTGAGTGAGCTATGTTTATCTCACATCCATTTATACATGCAATCTGAATTTTTACAAAATCTTCCTTTCTTGAACTCATGGAGTTGTCTTTCAGATAATCTCAATTTTTTCATTTGTTTCTCTCTCACTTTTAATTTTCTTAAATTTACTGTGAATCAATTAAGCAGGACAAGCTGATGAAGAATCAATCACTAGATAGCCCTGATGTTAAAATTCCACTTGGGTAACTTGGAATCATGACAGGGCTACATTTTCAGGTTGTGTCTCCATGCTAAAGATCATGCATAGCAAATAGATTTGTCCAAGCATATCCTCATGAGATTTCCTTTAGTAAAATCACAGATTTTGGGGTGTTCTTGTTCCTATTTTTTGCTGTGAGTAGACTGCTATGGAATGTAGTATATGCATAAGCTAGTAAGATATCTTGGCGTAAAGATATTTGAAAATATTAATCAGTTCTTGAATATTTGTCAGCTTTCAAACTCTCCATAAATAAGGTGGAGCCTATTTTCATATTTCAAAGAAGGGAACACTGAGGGGAAAATGTATGCCATCGTCATACATTGCTGTTGAATTTTAGGTGTACAGTGAAGGGCAAGTGACTTGGAGGAAAAAAAAGGACAGGTGTATTGACCGTGATGCCAAAGGAAAAATAGGAAATCTTAACTCCATTATTATATTGACTTATGGAAAAGAGTGTTTTAAAATCCATATGCAATAAGAAGCCTAAGCTTAAAGCTCACAAAAAATTAGAATTTAGATGAGGTTCCCCCATGCAGTCAATCTTCATTATATTATATAGTCTGCATTTGCAAATTCACCTACTCTATAAAAGTTATTTGTAACCCCCAAATCAATACTTGTGGTACTTTTGTGGTCATTGGCAGACATACACAAGACGGTGAAATATCTGAGTCACCCCATGCACATGTTCCAGCTGAGGTAAAAAAAAATGTAGTACTTTGCCTTCCTGTTTCGGCTCTCATACCCTAAAAAGGATGCTTTTCACAGTCTCCGTAGTACCACACTGTTGCATTTTTGTGGTTCCCCTGTATACAGTGGTCCCCAAGTGTCATGTTGAATTGCTGCCTAGTGCTCCTAAGTGCAGGAAGGCTATGATGTGCCTTACAGAGAACATTAAATACATGTATCAGATAAGCTTTTTTCAGGCATGAGTGATAGTGCTGTTGGCCACAAGTTCAATGTTAATGAATTAAAAATATATATAAAATATGATGTCTTTCAACATAAACACACATAAAACAAGGTCAGTTGACAAAAATGTAATTTCAGTAGTCTTGCAGAACCCTAACCCTGTATTTCTCTTAAGAACAATGGTCTGGTATTTGCTAATTTAATGTTCAAGGGGTCTTCGTAGAACATAACTTATGTGAAGAATGAGAATGAGCTGTACTTTCTCAAGGCCAGATAGAAAGAATGAAAAGTCAATACCACCATCATCAAGGCAACCAGTGAAGATGGCATTATGGTCAGAGAGCTCCCCCCAACTTCTGTGCTGTTTCTGTGATGGACAGTTGCAATTTTACTGTATTTAGGGAAGGAAAAATTAGTCTGGAAAGGGCAATTAGGAAGTTGTGTTACTGATCTGTCATAGCCAAAGGAAGTGATTGATTAATTCTTCCAGCTGGTGCCAGGTGAGTTGGCACCATTTTACACAGAGCAAATAATTGTCAGTGGGTAAGATTTATGGTTATGTGTAAGCCATGTCCTGCAGGAGTCCTGGAGGGGCATTGGCTAAAGTATGACAAGCTACTTCACATGACAAAATGGGAGGTAGGTTTCATAGCAACAGTTCACTTGCTTTTACTTAAAACAGCTGGTCTCTGGTCATTAGACTACTTTTTTTTTTTAAGCTTGTAACACAGACTATATGACATAAAGAAAAATGGCATGCTATCCCAGAGGCATTAAATCAGCATAAACAGAGCTGGAACTGTTGTCAAAGTACAATTATTGTTTTGAGGCTCCACCATTTAAATTTCCCAACTACAATTTGAGGATTATGTTGAGGTTGCATGGACAAAGATACATCCTATTTCTTGTAGACAAAAAGTTCAATGGATTGAGTTCCAGCCTACGAACCAAAGGGTCACTGGTTCAATTCCCAGTCAGAGCACATGCCTAGGTTGCAAGCCAGGTCCCCAGTAGGGGGCACATAAGAGGCAACCACACATTGATACTTTTCTCTCTCTCTCTCTCTCTCTCTTTCTCCCTTCCTTCCCCTCTCTCTAAAAATAAATAAAAATTTTTTTAAGTTCTTAAGTATTTATAGTCTGACCAGTCATTTCTGGTACAAGGACTACATGAAATTTAGTAAGTGGTAATTTTTTTTACCCAAATTGGATTTCATACCTTTATACCTATTTACAGTAATCTTTTCTGTACATAATAAGCATTTAGAGTTTGCACCAATCATTGTTATATGTGAGGCTTTCAAAGCTGATTTTGTGAAGTTCTGAAATTTGGGGGCTTATTTAGAAGTCATGAGTCAAAAACCACATCTCAAATTATGTACCTAGAACAGAAGTGACCCCTGGTTGGGTGGGGAGGAAAGAAACAAACCAGGAACATGAATGGCTAATGATGGATAATTCTGAAGTTTTCTTTCCAGCTATTAGAGATGAGAAGAAGAAACCATGATTTTATATTGGAACAATTGTTAAATATGTCCTCATGTCCACGTCTTTTGACACCCAGTCATTATGCTACCCACCAACTAGGATCGCCTTGTGTTGTCATCTATCTTTTGATTTGCTAGTTGGGGTTTATTCCACTGGGAATATAACAAATTGTAATATTAAGCACATGTGGCTGGCTTTTCTTTCTGTCTCTTTGTAGCTGAGATTGGGGATTTTGATGAAGCATCGGACAGAGAGCACTTAACAAAAAATAAGTACATACCTCAGCAAGATGTACTAGAAGACAAAATTGTGGAATTTCATCATAATCACATGTAAGTTTCATTTGTTGCTTTGAGCTTCCTTTCAACTGTTTCTATACTTCTGATATACATGGTACACACACATGCACAGACACTGTAACTATTGGAAGAAATATGCAAAGGGTGCAGGGGAAGACCACAGCAGCTTACATGTTGTTGCTATTCATCCTAGACTCTGAAATGTGCAGGTTACTCCTGAAAACCAGAGCTCCAGGCCTCTTGGCTTTTCTTCCTGTGAGACCTAAGTAACACTGGAATTTTAGGGCAAGTGATGCTTTGGAATAACAGAGAGAACATAAGGCCAATTTAATAGGAAATTGGGAAAGTGACATGGTACACTAGGGACAAAGTAAGAATATTGTGAAAACCTAGAACCTTTGTATCATCTCCACTTTGTTTTTTTGTTTGGATCTGTAAAACAAGTTTCAAATGATTCTCTGTGTCTTTTGTTTGTGTTGTTGTTTTAAGGAAGGCATTTGAGTCCTGATAATATGACTTGAACTTTGCTTGCACGTTTAGGTCTATTGTAAGTGACTAAAAACTTGTTTCAACACAATAGTGTTTTGCTTTTTTATGACCTTAAAGGAAGCTCTTTGAGATTCAAAAAAACTGGTCAAGTTTGAGGTAGACCTTTGGGGTTTTGTGTTACACAAACAATAGAGCTTTTGTTCAAGCTACCCAACTTGGGCTTATAATGAATGGGGGGTTGGGTGTCATCTGATCGGGTAGCCCCATTGTTTGTGATGAAATACCTTTTTATTTTCCAAGAGAAGCTCCTTAATCTCAAATGGACATAGATAATTCAAATTTCCTGGCCTTTCTTTCTAATTTTTGTTTTTCAGTGGACAAACACCAGCAGAATCAGATTTCCAACTCCTGGAGATTGCCCGTAGGCTAGAGATGTACGGGATCCGGTTGCACCCGGCTAAGGACAGGGAAGGTACTAAGATCAACCTGGCTGTGGCGAACACAGGAATTCTAGTGTTTCAGGTAAGAGCATTTAGAACACAGCTCAGTTCCCTTGGTGTCAGGGAGATAAGAATGGGCCCTTCAACTCTGATTCCATGCTGTGGGGTCCAAGGTAAGGCCTCCAGTAGTTATTTTTAGGTGAACAGGCAGTAGGGAAAAACTAACCTCATCTCAGAGCTTCTGTTTCTTTCCAGGCACTCAACTTACAAATTCTGTCAATCCACTATAATAGAGTTCTTTGCATTTACTCACTTTATAGGATCACAGAAATCTATATCTTTCTGTGGACTTATGCTTAGAACATGCATGATGGGATCAAGATTTTAGATTCCAAAACAACCTTTTTCACACTTTTCTTTAAACCTAATTTGGATTTTACATAAGCTTATTTTTGATTACAGATTTATCTAACTTAAAAAGAAAAATGTAGTATCCACTTGTAAGATATAGCTGTTTCATAAGTTTATAAGAGCCATGTCTGTACTGCAGTAATTTTGCAGCAAGATGCACACTGCACTTGGATGGATCCTAACTATGTTATTCTCTATATATATGTATATATTGTTATTGATTATGCTACTACACTTGTCCCATTTCTTTCTACCCTTTATTTACCTCTACCCTTCACCACTTCTCCCACCAGCATTCCACTGCTTAGACCATGTACATGGATAGTACATATAAGTTCTTAGGCTTTTCCATTTCCTCTACTTTTCTTAACCTCCTTCTCTCTACTCTGTACATACCAGTATGCTTCTTATTCCCTATCCCTTTTCCCCATTCTCACCCCTCCTGCTCCCTTCTGAAAACCTTCCCTGTGATCTCCATTTCGTGATTCTGTTCCTGTTCTAGTTGTTTGCTTAGTTTGTTTTTGTTTTGTTTTTAGGTTCAGTTGTTGATAGTTGTGAGTTTGTTATCATTTTACTGTTTGTAGTTTTTGATCTTTTTCTTAGATGAGTCCCTTTAACATTTCATATAATAAGGGCTTGGTGATGATGAACTCCTTGAACTTGACATTTTCTGAGACGCACCATCTGCCCTTAGATTCTAAATGATAGCTTTGCTGGATAGAGTAATCTTGGATGTAGGCCCTTGCCTTTCATGACTTGGAATACTTCTTTCCAGCTCCTTCTTTCCTGTAAGGTTTCTTTTGATTAATCAGCTGGTAGTCTTATGGGAACACCTTTATAGGTAACTATCTCTTTTTCTCTTGCTGCTTTTAAGATTCTCACCTTACCATTAATCTTGGGTAATGTAATTTTGATGTGGCTTGGTGTGTGCTTCCTTGGGTCCAACTTCTTTGGGACTCTCTGAGCTTCCTGGACTTCCTGGAAGTCTATTTTGCCATATTAGGGAAGTTCTCCATTATTTTCTCAAATAAGTTTTCCATTTCTTGCTCTTTCACTTCTCCTTCTGGCAGCCCTATGATTGAAATGTTGAATGTTGAAACGTTTAATGTTGTCCTGAAGGCCCCTAAGCCTCTCCTCATTTTTTTTTCAATTCTTGTTTCTTCATTTTATTCTAGTTGAATGTTTATTTCTTCCTTCTGATCCAAATTGTTGATTTGAGTCCCAGTTTCCTTGCCTTCACTGTTGGTTCCCTGTATATTGTCCTTTATTTCACTTTATATAGCCTTCACTTCCTCCTCTGTTTTGCAACTGTACTCAGCCATTTCTGTGAGCATTATGATTACCAGTGTTTTTAACTCTGTATCTGATAGGCTGGCTATCTCTTCATCTCTTGGTTCTATATTTGGAGCTTTGATGTATTCTTTCATTTGGGCCATAATTTTTTGTCTTGGTGCACCTATTATGTTGTAAGGAAGCGGAGCCTTAGGTATTTGCCATGGCAGGACAACCCACATCACTGTCTTGTGGTACTGTACGTGGGGAAGGGATCCAAGAGGGAACAATGGAGCTTACTTGGCCCTCAGCCAGCTTTCAGTAGCTTCTTCTGTGACCCACAAGCAAATTAGGTGTTTCTGGTGCTTATTCCTGAGTGGATGTATTTGTGTACATTCTAGGACCCTGTGGGTCTCTCCAATGAACTCTCCTGTGAGGCTGGGAGTTTCCTCCCACAGCTGCAACCCCCACAGGTTTTTACAGCCAGAGGTTTTGAGATTTTCTTCTCTCATGCTGGAACCCTGGTTTTCAGGGCCTGTTGCCCTCCTCAGTTATTATTCCCAGTTTATGCACGTGCAAATGTGGGACTGCCCAGTCCACCAGCCACCACCTTGCCTGCCCCAGTCTGCCAGCCGCTGCCTTGCCACACATCCTCTCCACCCTGGCTTCCCATGTCTGCCTCTCCTACCAGTCTGGATGAATGTTTCTTCTTTAATTCCTTGGTTGTTGGACTTCCATATAATTTGTTTTTCTGGCAGTTCTGGTTATTTTTTGATTTTAAATTTGTTGTTGTCCTCCTTTTGGTTGTGCAAGCAGGCAAAGTTTATGTACATATACTTCCTTCTCAGCCAGAAATCTACCTGTTTTTCTTAAGTACATAATGATTTTCTGCAGTTTGAAATGTTACTTGACATATAATAAAATGCACATATCTAAAATGTGCCATTTGATAAGTTTTTATATATGTATATCCTGTAAAACATCAATGAGTTCAAGATAATAAACATATTCACCAACACCTCCCCCCAAATTTTCTCAAGGCTTTTCTTTTAAAGAAAAGTCAGTGATCTGTGCCTTGGTTTCAAATGGGTGTGGAGAAAACATCTATCTTTCTCATGCAATAAAGTCAGATTTCACCCAGTTTTGGAGGTGTAAGTGTGTATATGAGCTAAAACTTTTTTGAGCTCTACCTGGTTTGGTTACATTTCCCCTGTCTTATTTCACCAAAATAGCCTATGATTCTCTGCTCATGTATCAGATGTTTATGATGGACACTAATTATCATAGACCTGTGCCCCAAGAAAGGAATTCAAGTTGTGTTTCGCATGGGATACTAGGGATGTGTTGAAATCAGTGTGGTATTTGAGAAAGTGACTCCTCCTGATAGGTTTGGACCTGCAAAAATAATGTAGGACTCTCTGATGAAAAAACACAACAATAAACTAAGTGTAGTTTTCAATACTATCATTAAATTTCAAAATTAAATCCCTGAAACATTTCTAAAAATCATAGAGCAGGAAAAAGAAGTGCCTCACAATTGAATTAATTTGTTTTGATTGTTAGGTATAATCTAAATACTGAGAGTTGCTCAGTAATTTAATTATGTACAAAAGTTGTATCTTGGAATTAACCTTCTTCTCAGTGTATAATTGCTTCATTATTAACCAACTTAAATAAATGTTCCTGGTGTTCAAATGGACTCAAGAGGAATTCTATTTTCAATTGATATGATAGGACACGTAGGAGCTGGTGTTTGGCAACTCCCTCTTACTTCTCCACCACTTCCCACATGGTTATCAAAGATGAGGATGTCCTTTCTGTACAATGTTCTCTGGCCTAGAAGACACAGGGAAGGCAGGGCCCTCCTTCCCAGATCCTGATTTTGCTGTTGGATGCCTAGTGGACATGGAAGCCAGACCATGTGGATAAGGGGGTGATTGCTAACCTGTAGTGTTGCTTCTGTGTTGCTAACTGGTGGTGTTGCAGCTGCTGGTTAAGACACATGCTCAGGAATCTCATTCTGCCATTCAATTTGTTGTTTTGGCCAAATTAAAATATATCCATGCAACAGATACCACACCTATAAAATGAAGATAAGAAAGCCATCTCAGTGGGTTTTGTATAAGGTTTGAAAAGATCTATAAAGTCCTTAGGCCATTGCCTGGCATGCTATAAGTGATGATTGCTAATTATTGTGGTGGTTGTTATGGTTTGTATTTTTATTTATTTTTCTCTGTATCATTCCCTTGGCTAGCCTTTTTCTTCCCTGGAGGCAAATTTAGTTGGAATGCCAAATCATGTAATCCATGAGAAATAATGATCCAGGAACCAGCATCTTCCCCACAGCTGCAGATCTGTGAATTCTCCAGCAAAATGAATTCTTACAGAGCCACAGGATATCAGTCCTCCTTGCTGTTCCCCATAAGCAACACACAACAACTCCCATGTTGCTTATTGTGCATTTCCTGGCTCACTGGCTGATACCTTTCTTTTTAGGGTTTCACAAAGATCAATGCCTTCAACTGGGCAAAGGTGCGAAAGCTGAGCTTCAAGAGGAAGCGCTTTCTCATCAAGCTCCGCCCAGATACAAATGTAAGTGGCTCCCAGAAAAGGGGGACACCTGCTGAGCCTTCCCTGTGAGCCATTGGGATGGGCCAAGCTAGGCATAGGCTGAAACTGGACAACAGCCATTCAGGTATTTGAGTGTCTTACAGAGAGATGTTTCCAAATGCTTGGTAATGCCACAGTTGTTACTCTCAGTAGAAAGAAGGTAAAGGATGAGTAGCACAGATGTGTGCCTGGGGATAGGGTAACTACCTATGCAAACACCAGCAGCTTTAACATCACCCTCAATAAACAACCTGAGCTCTGCAGTTGCTGTGTCTCCAGCCTCTGGGTCACCTTGAGACCCTATACAGCATTCTGCCATATTGCAGGCATATCCCTGCCCACACACCAAAAGTCCCAAACTCTTGACTGCTTGCTGTTATCCCAGACCTCTGACAGTGCATTGTCATGAGCTAACCGGGTCCACTTCCCACAGAAACCCTACAGATGTTGCTTATACTGGGACTGGGTCAGGGAAGGAAGAACAGCATCTTCTTCTGCTGGAAATAACAGTGGAAGAGATGGATAATATATCTCTGATGTCCCCAGCCAGTACTTGGGAGTGCTTTTTCCCATGGAAAAAAGATTATAAATGTAAGTCTAGGCTTATAGTTTAGCTATAGCATGGTTTAAGTAGGCTTTTATGGCCTGACCTCAGAAACAACACCCATTATTAGTTGTTTTCCATGGGAAAATGCATTTTGTGTTCCAGAAGGCTGATTTACACGTGAAAAATTACAGCACAACTACTTTTTAAGTTGACACTCCACTGCCCAGAACTGTGGGATCTGCCAAATATTTGGAACGGCTAGGAATGTTAAAGACTGTGGTAACTTTTATTTATATAATATGGCCCCATAAATTGGGGGCATTTCATCTGGGAATAGAAAATTACTGTGTCCTCTTTCCAAAATCAAAGGACATGAGTTTTTCAGTCTTGACTGATACATTTGTGCTCCAGAAAGAAAAAATGTTCTTCTTGTAGGGTCCCTGAGGCCACCTGGGACTAACATATATTTTCTGATAGAGAACAGTCTTAAGACCAATTTTTAAAGTTGGCCTGAACCATGAGGGAGAAAACAGAAAGAAGAATTGTGTTTCAGTTATTTTAAGGATGCAAAAAAGGAATTTCTGTGCTGGGATATTTTTTAAGGAAATGTAAACCAAGTAAATACAATTTATTTATGAATTTTGTCAAAAGCAATACAATTTTTGCTGAGTACCCCTGGTTTCTGTTAGTTCCTCTAAGGAATTCTGTGGAGAATAAAATGTTTGAGTGATAACTATATTTTGTCATTAGGAACAACGTTTTACTAAATACGTGAATTTATGGTCATGCTATAATAAAATACACAGTTGAAATTTTATTGGACAGATTTTTTCTTTTCTTTTTTTATTTTTTCAGTTCTTCAGTGTCCATGGGTAATGGATAAAAACCAAAATGATATTTTCTCTTTTTAGAGCTCATACCAGGATACCTTGGAATTTCTCATGGCCAGTCGGGACTTTTGCAAATCCTTCTGGAAAATCTGTGTTGAACATCATGCCTTTTTTAGACTTTTTGAAGAGCCCAAACCAAAGCCAAAGCCTGTTCTCTTTAGTCGAGGGTCATCATTTCGGTTCAGGTAAGTATGCTACTTCACTCCTTTCTACTTCACTCCTTTTTGTTTGTCTTCCCCTGAGACTTTCCTTGTGCTATTACCTATTACAGCTGCTGTGGTATGCAGCAAGGAGGTAAGGTCAGAGCCAGTCTCCAGTTTGCTAATGGGGTTTTGCTGGTCATCCCAGCAGACTCCTTGGCAGACCCTTGCTGCATTCTGTCTGAATGTCAGTGAGGCACAGGACCATCTACCTTGCCATTGGGACTCTTAATGGGACTCTCTAATTCAGAAAGGATTTCCTTTCTCTATAAAAGCAAAAGTGTTTATTAATATTTGATGTAGCTTCATAAAATACTATGTAGACTTGCCTATCATTGGGTCACTTTCTTACTCATTCTTTCAACACTTTGTCTACTGCATGTCAAATACTCTTCTAGTCATTGGGAAAACAAAATTATCCCTGCCTTCTCAAAGCATACACACTCAGAATGTTTGCATAATAACCAATCATAGAATTAAGTGGTTAATTGAACACTTTCTTTTATTTTTAAGGGAAATATTAAGAGGTAGACTAGACATGAAAACATGGTTTTTCTTAGTCTGCTTATACTGCTGGCTAAATGAGAAAACCCACATATCTCCCCATCATGCAAGGGGAGGTAAAGGTAGTGGAGTGTTGTGTTTTGTGTTTAAATGAGAATGCCTTGGTGTCTTCTTCCCTTTCCTCTCATGGTCTTCATTTTAGTGGTCGGACTCAGAAGCAGGTTCTCGACTATGTTAAAGAAGGAGGACATAAGAAAGTGCAGTTTGAAAGGTAAGAGGAACTTCTATGCTACTTCTGATATGGGAGGAGTCAAGTCATTCTTTCCAGGTAAAAGTGCAATGGCTGTGAAATAGTGCTTCACCCAGTCTTGGTGAGTTAGAGAATCACTGCTTCATAGTCACCTTGACCAGTTCAAACAATTTAGTGTTAGTTAGGAACATTGGAGAGTACAGGGGCATTTACTCAAGGTAAGAAGAGGTAAGGAGAATGGACTGAGAGAAACAAGTAAGAAAGAAGAAAAAGGAGCCAGCAGAAGGCAGGGAGGGAAAAGGAACAGGAGATTACAGTGGAGATACAGTGCTATAAAACTAACCAGGACTAAGGACTGGTTAGTCCTTAAATATTTGGGGGTTTGTATTGAATGTATTTTTATAAACTTTTCAATTAAATAAAGTTTGGAGGAGAAGAAACTGGATTTATTACTGCTGTTGTTAGCAAATGTTTATTGTTCATGTGATATACTGGGCAGTATTCCAAGCTCTTTACTATATTAACTCATAGTCTCTATACCAACGCTGTTGAGGCCCGTGCTATCTTATTCTATTTTTAAAGATGTAGACACTACAGCTCAAAGAGGTTGAGTAACCAGCCCAGGTCTCCAAGCTGGTGAGCAGCCTCTGGAGGCTGGCTCTGGAGCCCACTGCCCTTAAGCCTTGCGCTGCCTCCCAGACGGGGAGAAGCAGAGAACCCAGAGGGACTAAGATGCAAGGGTAAAGGGGTGAGCGATGGTGCTCCAAGGACTGTTTAGCACAAGTATTTTTTAAATCTTCTTTTTTCATTTTAATACACTTAAAACTTACAATAAAGTATATAGAATGCAGCAAACACCCATATTCTTACTACTTAGAATTAACATTTTAACATGTGCTGGAGTTCTTTTTCTTCTTCTTTTATCTGTAGCTATTGTTAGTGATATGGCCTTCTTACCAGCAGTCTTCATATTTCCCTTCTCCCCTCCCCAGAGGTAACAACTGGCTAATTCATTTTACTGTTACACATCTTCATGCACCCAAAAAGATTATGTAGAATATGTGCTTTTTTATTTGTGTAAGTAATATCACACTATCTATAATTCTGCAACTTGCTTTTGAAACCCTTCCCTGATTTTGAGATCTATTTCGAGTGGTTTTGGTATCAGAGTATTACATTATATTTATCTGATTCCCTATTGGTAAGCATCTAGTTGTTTGGTATTTTGCTTTTGCTGCAACAAACCTGCTGCTTGTGACCATTCTTGTGTATTTCTCCTGATGCAGGTCTGGGGTTGTTTCTCCCTCCGTGTTCCCAGAAATGTAATGTTCAGAAGGTTATTTGCATGCTTACCTTGATACAACAAGCCCCATAATTTCCTTGGATAATCCATGATTAATCTTTTGAAGATCATAGAAGTGGTCCAATTTGTTCTCTTATTCAGACTGTGGATGTTGCAGAGCTTTTGAGTATTAATTGGGAGTATTTTGACAAAATTTTGGCTGTACATTGGAATTTAATGTTTATACAGTTTCACGCTATTTGCGTACCTGAGAAGTTTCTAATGCTTGTTCACTGGAGAGGAGAGAGACAGACTAAGGAAGGGGAATTATGAGAGAGGAGTTAGTGGCATTAAAGCCAGTTTCTTCTACTATTGAGTCTATAAATTCATTCATAGGGCAGGTCTTCTCCTCTGAACTTAATACTGTGAAAGAATTAACTGATTAGTAGTTAACACCTCTATTATAAAACTGATCTAGAAAATTATTACCCCCAAAGCACAAATTGATTTCATTATGCCATAGCTAACAATTTAGAGCATATGTGGGCCCCCTTACTTCTTCCTCCCAGTGACTTTTCCTATAACTAGACAGTGCTCCATTGCTGGGCTCCTAATTGGCTATGCCCCTCAAATGGGAACAGGGGATTGCTGAGAACTTTTTCAAGGTTTAAGTAATCCTGGAACCTGCAAGAAATGTGGAAAAGGTGACTGGGTCTGTTTCCAGGGAGCATTTATAAAAACTGTTTTGGGTACCTTCATTTTTTAGGAAGTGTCTAATGCTGATATTTTTCATTAAGAAAAAAAAATACACTCACCTAACTTTAGCTGTGTTATGTGTTTTCCCCAAGGAAACACAGCAAGATTCATTCCATCCGGAGCCTTGCAGTGCAGCCTACAAAGCCAAATTCAGAAGTGCCAAAACAAGTCAGTAATGGTGATACACTGCTATAGCTCTGTTTTTCACCTGACTTAGTCTGCTGAGTTCTGTATTTCATAGCATGCTTTCAAGTTTTCCATTCTTTACCCTTGGGGGTGTTTCACAGAGGAGAGTCCAGTTGTGCACCCTGACTTTGAGCAGATACATTCTCTGTGCATTGCAGACCCCCATCCTGGGCTCAGTGGCTCTGAAGTGTGTCCTTTTCAGCTGACTATCTATCTTCCCTCCCATGCTTTTGTCATGGAGAAGTTTGCTCTGTTGGCCTTTACTCAGCTGAGGGGTGGAACCTTCCATGAAAGCCAGGAGGGCAGAGCCCATCCTCCAGTTAATGTATATACTTCTATGAAGAAATCGGGACCTGCTTTGCAGTTGATGGGTATAGCTCCCATTTGGTGCCAAGGTCAGAACCTTTCTCTGGCAATGGACTGGGTGGTGAGCTCCCAGGGCTTGTGTTACAGGGCAATGACCATAGTTGCGACAAGAGACATTATCAATCTTGCTCTCAGGGTGGCAAGAGATCATTTTCCCTGGAGTTGGTCTCTGGATGGGTTTTCAGGGTTTTCTCTACAAGATAATAACATTGTTGAGAAAGAACCTGAAGGAGATTTCACTATGTGAATCCAAAAAGACTCCCTAATCTGTTCGTTCTAGTCTTAGAAGTATAAACAAAGAAGTTTTTTTTGTCATTTGTCTGAAATACTTGTCAACTTGCCTTCTGGGGTCCATGAAGTGTTATCTTCTGCTCCTGTTCATGCTTCCTCAGGAAGCCTGTGACCTACAGGGACTCTTTCCAAAGACACTTTGGAAACCCAGTGTGAGGCTATGGGTCCTAGAAAGCAGAGACACTGCTTAACGTGTGTTGCTGGGGACCCTGCACTGTCAGTTTCCATACCCTGAAAGAGCTTTCTGGATACTGACCAAACACTCAAGAGTGCTTGCTTTTTGTCAGAGTGCTCTGTCCTAATACTGTGGAGGCAGCCTTTATTTGGTGATACTTACAGCTGCTCAAAGCTTAAAAAGGAGTTAATAAAGTAGACTCTGATGTCTTGGTTTTTTTTTCCCCCCAACTCTGGTGTAACAATCTGCCTTTTCTCTCCCATTCCTTCATCCTTTTCTTGCCCCCACCCTGCCCAGGCTCAGCACAGAGCCAGCCTTACACTTGGAGAAGGTGCTGAATCCCCAGATGGCCAGAGCTGCCAGCAAAGAAAGGAACTGGAAGTTTCCACCACCGAGTATGGGTCATGCCAAAGCCCTGCTCTGCAGAAGAGCCCAGTGGGTAACAAGAAGGCTGGTGGAGGCATGAAGGCAACAACAGAGGAAGAGGAGGAGGTCATTACGGATAGGACCCAGCAGAATAAACCTCAGCCCCAGCAGCCAACAGGTCCAGCATCCAGGGCTGCTAGAGGCAGCAGCACTTCTATTCCTTTCATTGACTGCAGTGATATAGATAGTGAATACGATCTTCTCAGGGAACAAACGTCCCAGTCACAGTCCCAAACAAATGACAATTATGAGGGTGATTTGACCAGTGGTGTTTATCTGCTCTCCAGGGATGAGAGGCAAATAGAAACTAGGCACAGGGCATCCCCTCACTCTGTGAAGTCTTCCCAGCCTCCTTCCAGAGAATTGCTTGATGACGATTCAGCAGACATCACCTTTGATATGGGTGGGAGTCCCAGACTCCCAAGACATAGCTCTCTGATAGATGAGATGTTCAGGGGTTCAGGCATTCACTGTCCCCTGGCCATAGCATTGTCCCCCAGCAGCAGAAGTTCAAGTCCAGATATCAGTTGGGACAGGATTGGGTCTCAAGGGTATGTTTCCAAAAACAGACATGACCGTACAGAGAGAAGGATGGGAGAAAATACTCTCCAGAGTCAGGGTCCTCGTTATGAAAACTGTTCCCCCATCTTACAAAGGCCATGCTTACAAAATCTTCCCTGTAAATATAATAAGTCAGAGACAGATCCACTCATCCTTAGCCAGGTAGTATCAATCCCAGAGGCAATGGATAGGCTTGATGGCCATAAAGAGGGAGAATTGGCCAGTCTGGCTGGTTTAGAAGGTAGAATGCTGGCTAACTGGACACCTCTCCTGGGTCCCACCTCAAAGGTCCTCATCATGCAGACAGGGTGTGCCTGTGGCATGGCGGACCAGCTGGCACCCCTGCAAACAACCGAGGGTTCCACCAGCAGTGGGACTGAATCCAGTGATTCAGATTCTGAAATAGTAAACCCTTCCAGCCATCCCCTCATGTTTGGTAATGCAGCAGTACTGAGTCGCCCTCCCATGCTGAGAAGTAGTAAGTCCTTGGGTAGCCTGCATTTGAGTGAGGAACAAGAGGAAGATGAATGAGGAAACGAGAAGGCATGTCTTCAAGAGTCAAGAACCTGAAGTCATGAGGCCAGGGCTTCAGTGGAGAATACCTATTCTAATGACTTACTAATTTTTAATAAACATTTGTTAGAGGAAGTTTTGGTCAGGCACCTGTTTGGATAGGGCATGCCTGACTTCTAAAATCTTTCAGAAAAACAAAACTTCACATGGTGGCTTGTATTCCAAAAAAGATTGTCAAGATAAAAAGTAAGTCATAATGACAAGTTATCAGGAGCTTGTTGATCTTTCTAGTTGAAATCCTTCACTAGGAATCTGGTCATGCCTATAGTGTATTGTATTTGTGTGGAAATTTTCTGTATATGTTTAATTTTGTGTGCACATCACCCTTCTATTTTTGGAATGTTTTGACTGAAGTGTCATTGAGATCCAGAAAGGTGTTGGTTTTACTTTTCCCCCTTCTTTAAAAGGAGGGCTGCTTTTCTGAGCCTCATAAAGTGAGGAATTAACAAAATTCAAGGCCAAATGTGGTAAGTTGATTGCTAGTTTAGATCGTGTTGGTGAAATCTTAGTCAAGAGTAATGAATATTTTAATCAGAAGAATTTGGAGTTATTTCATATTTCCTGACTTCAAAATGATATAAAGGTTGTCAAATTTTCATGAACTGTAATTTACATGGGAATGCTGATTTGGTTTGGATTTGCATTGATGGATCAAATTTTTCTTTTTTAAGAAGCTATAACTCTGCTGTCAGAATCCCTTGGTGAATCAGAAATGCTGTTTAGTGATGATGCAGGAGAAAGTCAGTCCTTGCAGTAGGTATTTGTCACTAGCAGGTTAACAAACAAAATGTCTGCCTCTCAGTTGTGCAAAGTACAGAGAAGGATCATTTCCTTGGTACCTTTTCTTGGGAAGTGACTTTTGATGTTTCTCTGTTCAGGAAGAAAGTGTGAGTAGTGAGAACTCTGATTTCCTTTTAAATCTTGCCCACCTGTGCCAGTGCCTTTTACCCAGCATTCCTATATTTTAGATAGAAGAGAGTCTGGTTTTAACTTTCATTATTTCTCAGCCTTAGTGTCATATTTTAAAATTGGTAATGCCTAGACCTTGACCCTAGAAATTTTGATCTAATTAGGCTGGGGTACCACTTGGGCCTCTAGATAGTTCTGCTAGGTAGCTAAATGTCACTTCTCAGCCAGACACAATTGCCTTCTAGAACCAGTGAAATATATTTAAAATATTAGCTGAATTTTGGGCGTGTTTTCAGAGTAAGAAAAGCGTCACAAATGAAAATATTTTTTCATGCCTGTTATTTGGTACTTTTCAGTCTTTGATACTTTTATATAAAGATGAATTGTAGAATCAAATATTTACATCCTAAGTAGCTACAAAATTATTGAAAGAGTTATAAGAAGGATACATCCCTGGTGCACTACCACACCAGTGGCCTTACTAAACTCATTACATAACTCTCACAGAGGAAGAACTGAACTTGTTTGGGAAACTGAGTAAAATTTGGCAGCAGCATATTATGGATAACAGTATTGACTGACCTTGTGGTTCACAAGTGATTACTGGTCCACATTGCAATGCAAGACGTTTGTTTTAACGATTCTGAGAACTTAATCCATTTGTAAACAAATTTTTGTTGTATCTTTCTAATCATTTGATTCAGTGCAGGATTCATAATCAAATTGATAGTTTGAAAGGTGTTCATTAAATTTACATATGTCTTGCTTTAGATTTATATATGTAATAGAGTCACAGAATTTTAGAACTAGAAGGAACCTTAGAGATCACCTTCATTTTCTGGATGAGAAACCTTGTTCAGATGAAGTTAAGAGACATCACCTAGTCACACAACTAGTGTGACAAAGTTCAAATTAGACCCTGTCTCTAGACTTTAGCTTTTACTTGTTGTAACATCTTGATGCAATAGGACCTTTCTGAGTCAATATTTTAATTTTTGAAAATCTTGTATGGATTAATAATTAAAATAATATGCAGACCAGTAATCATGTAGATTTAAGTAATTATAGTTTATACTAGGTAGAAAGAACTATTGCTTTTTATATCATGAGGTTTTTGCAGTTATAACATGTTTCTGCATATTCTGTTTTGGACTTAGAAAAAGATATCAATTTACTATATAAAAATCTAGTTGAATGTGAGTTAAGCAGACTCACATTTGCAACCCTGTTGTTTGTTTGTGAAGGTGATTTGTTCAAATGAGTTATCTTTTTACGTCGAATTATAAAGCAGCCTGATAATGAAATGTAAATGAGTGATAGGTATTAACTTACCCAGCGTATGATGCAAATCATCAAATGTAAACCTTTAAAGCCAAACAGGCTCCGATAATTTGTTTTGCTTTTTCTTAAAGAAGTGATTTTATCTGAAGTGTCTTAAAAACAGTTGATCAGTGGTGGAGTATTCAGTTCTATACTGAATACATTTCCCACTTTCAGTGTTGCTTATAGTTTTTTGTTGTGGTTTGGTACCAGCCAAGCAACTCAATTTTTGCCTCTTGGCCAATATTTTGAAAGCAACAATCCCAGTGTAATTAATGGTGCTTAAAAGGAAAAGGGTGTGGTTTCTTCAAAAGCCACATACCCGTAAGTGCTGAGAATACTCACTAATTGCCTCTGGAGGAGCTTGATTCCAAGCATTGGTGGGAGAGTAAATGTAAGCATTCTCTGAGCCTGGTTGAGCCAGATCACTGAGGTGATACAGTCTTTCTCTGTGTGTTGATCAAGAAAAGCCAACAGACTCCAGCATCCCACCTTCCATGCCTCCTGCCTTTTGCGCAACTCTGGTTCCCAGGTCTTTACCTGGCTTCCGGAATCTTACTGTGTGGCATAAAGAGGACATGCACGTGCATAAAGTTGACATGAGAGTGCAGGAAGATGAGGTTGAGGGGTGTTGGGATGAAGAATAGACAACAGAGATCAAAGACCTGTGAATTCTTTCAGATTTTAAAGGGGTTTCTAAGACTCATCAATGAATTTTTCTAAGACAATAGCAAGTATAGAGATCTCCTGAATCAGCAGAGTACCCAGGTCTTCACTTAATAGCTACTCTCTGAAATGATATTGTAAGGCCTTGAATGGAAGACAAACCATATATAGAAATAAATCTTCAAGCCACTCAGGGCTACTCCAGGGCCTCCCATATATTTGATTAGATAGCATTTCAAAATACGTAAATCGTAGACCCTTTTGTGGTTGATTTTGTTGCTGCTTGTTCAAGGCAAAATAAAAGTACAAGACATTATCTTAGCATGAAGAAATACATTTATTTAATGAGTTCCAGAACTTAAAATGAATTGTTCCAGCTCTTTGAACATTAATGTGTATGCCATTGACGATATTTTATTAGGCATTCACTTAAAGTCTGCAGGCCAGATTCTTACCCAAATATGTAATTCATATTTGGAAATTTCTCATAGATTTATCTCACCAAACTGTGCTGTGTGGACTGTACTTAAAATGTGAATAATCCCAATTTTATTTTCCAGAACTTCTGTGAAGATTCAAGCCAAGTAATGCTAAAATAAGCTATTCCTGCAAAACTAAAATATAGCATGAGTCTCATAAAAATACCACCAAATACACAAAATCCAGTTTGTCCTCTGTTGAATCAGAAACTCAGCTTGCATTATTAGCTCTGGATTCATTTTGATTCTGTTGCCAAGCAGTTTCTAAAAGATTAAAATATTAAACTGTCATTTTAAATTGTATTAAAAATATTGGGAATGTGCCTACAGCTTTCTCTTTTATATTTATAATCAGTGTTCACATGCTTTTAATCAGCTTTTTCCACTTAAATTGTTTTTCCATATTTCAACACAGAATAGGTTTGGTGCAGTTATAGCCTTTAGTGAGTAAATGTGAGTTACTGTTAAGCCCAGCCTTAAATTAAGAGGACTAAGAAAAACCTTCATAGCCCTGTGGTGTAGCTCAGTGGATTGATCATGGGCCTGTGAACCAAAGAATGGCAGTTCGATTCCCAGTCAGGGCACATGCCTGGGTTGTTACCAGTCCCAG